CTAAACGCACAGTAATGGCAGGTTTTGTAATAAGGCAGATCGCGCTAACATAATATGCACTGTTAGTTGATTATTTACCTGCCGCATTAACGGGAGAGGACGTGCAAACGTTACCGCTGCTGCTGGGTTGAGATTCACGACATTCATTTAAGGTCATCGCGTGTTTTGTGAGCAAATGCTTTTGCATATTCGTAGTGTTTCCTCCCTTAAATGAAATATCTACTTTGCAAGTATTGCAAGTGGCCCTGTTGTCATCCGTTCTCGTAAAGTATAATCAAACTTTTGAGCGTTTGAGCCGCCATGTTTCCTGCCAGGTAAATGACGCTCCGCAACGTGGTGACGTCATTCGGGGCGACTGGAATCGATAAGGGAATCGTTTGCAAAAATGGCAAACAATTCCAGGGAATTAAAACAGTGGAAACCGGTTCTCAACAAGAACCGGTTTTCGATACCCATCCCTAGGTCTGGTGAGCAGTGACTGTCTATAATTCTACTGTTATGGGACCTGTCCTGAAGCACATAAGCACAGAGCCCACCACCGTTTTCCTTATGGCAGGGGTGGGCAACTCCATTCCTCAAGGGCCAGTGTCCTGCAGGTTCTAGATATCACCCTGGGTTAACAGGGTTAACCTGAATCACCTGAATTATTTTATTACCAGGCCTCTGGAGAACTTCAAGACGTGTTGAGGAGGTAATTTAGCCATTTAAATCAGCTGTGTTGGACCAAGGACACATCTAAAACCTGCAGGACTCCAGGACACTGGCGAGTTGGCCACCCTTGCCTTACAGAGACTTTTGGAGTCCTGCTAACTCCACTGAGGCATCAGGGATGTTTGGATGGAGCCAGGATTCAGTAACAATCAGTAGACAACACCGCTGTCTGCATCACTTGCTGATCAAAGCGTTGCAGGAAGATGCAACGAAAAAGAATAAAAAGCACAAAAAAGATGCACCGTAGTTGGAAGCGCTGTGCTGCCTCATGTGTCCATACGCATCACTATCTTATAAAAATAATAACACAAATAACATACAAATAACAAAGTTTTACAGTTTCGAGAAAAATTATCATCATTTATGATTAATTTCTGTAATATTCTGGATATTTATAAATGAGCTATTTGCATATATTAAAGCAATTTCTTACATTTTGTAACTTTGTAATATATTTGCTTAATTTAAATTAGTTCGGTCTGTTACTGTTCTTAATGTCTTGGAGCTTGTGTAACCTTACTTAGGGAACTTAGGGAATAGTAAACCTGGTGTTACTATTGACTTTAGACGCTCATGTTAAATCTCTGGTCCACTCCTGTTTTTATCACTTGAGAAACATTGCTAAGCTGAGTTCCATTGTATCGTGCTCCGAATTAGAAATTGTCATTCATGCATTTGTTTCACCTCGTCTGGATTATTATAGTTCTTTATTTACTTGTTTATGTAAAGCCTCTTTGAAACATCTGCAAGTTGTTCAGAACGCTGCTGCAACGCTTCTGACCAAGTCAATGTTCCCTCTAATTTTTCACGTGTCTGAGCGAACACACAAACTCCCTGAGTGGTCCCTTTGACCACTGTGAGCGACATCAGACGTGTGCACTGTGGTCACGCCGGCATCTTATCCAAACATGGTTTATTAAAATAATCAAATTACAGCGTTTACATTTATGTTAGACTACTTTTAATTAACTGCTTTAGCCCACTTACAGTAAAAATTAATAAATAAATCTTGTTCATGAGCTGTGTAGTATGTTAACACTATTGGAAGTAAAAATAACTGAACTCCAATTTCGAAAACACAACTTACTTTTTTTTATTTTTATTTTTTATAAAGCTCTGACTTGTATTATGATGATAATAACACAAAAGTTAGGCGCACAATTTTATAATAATTTATATAATATAATGTGTTTTTCTGGATACACTGTGCTTTTTCAGCATTCAAAGATTGATGACACCGTGTCAGAGCACTGGCTATGAATTTCAGAAGGATCAGGCCTAAACAGAAAAGTTAGCAATAGTTCTTTTCCTATTACAGCTACATCCACTTCTGTCGTGCCTAGGCTGCTCACTAGGGCTGGTTATCATCACTGATTTCTATAATCCATTCGATTCCGGTTTTCAAAGTCCCGATTCGATTCAACTTAGCCTCAGACAGTCAGAAATATTATAATTCTGATCATTTATCAGTACTGACTTCATCAGAATTGTGAACATCACAGCAGATGCCGTTGTGTGAAAGTAACTGAGAATAAAACACAGAAAAACATGAAGGAGATTTTCCTGGTCTGGCTTTTTATAGCAGATAACCTTAAAAAGATTCTACAATGTTCTGCATATAAAGTTTAAATTTCTTCAATATTGAACAACAGAAAAAAATGGGCTTTCTTGTCCGAGGTCATTTAAGTGAAAAAAAGAAAAGAAAAAGACAGCAGCCACAGCGCTGTAAACAACGGTAGACTGGTGGGTAATAAGCAAATGAATAATACAGAAAACAGAGATTGGAGACGGAAAACTGTTCTTGAAGTACAGAGAGAGATAGAGAGAGAGCCAGCTGTGCATGAAGTGTGATTTTAATAGTCGTGGAAGCAAAACAGCAAAATTCATGACGACATTGGTCAAATGTGAAGCGCAGTTTGCTGCTTCTTTTGCTGCTGGCTCGGTGAATTTTGGCTGGAGAGACAAAACCTGCAGCTCAGAATCAGCGCAAAAAGACGTAATCACAGCACGGACCGGACGCATCAGGATCGTTAAGCTCCGACAGCGTGTCCGTCTACGGGCCGTCGGGTGAGAAAGCCGAGAAAGACAAAGTTGATTCTGATGCGTCGGGTCCGTTCTGTGTTTACGTCTTCCTGTGGAATCCGTGTACCTGCTCTCATTTGCTGTTTGGTTGTTGTTGAAATGGTTTTGTGAGCTTTAATCTGAGAATCTGGCGTTTCTGGCAAAACACAGTTATGTTTAAAAGTCGATTCAGGATTTAATGAATTGATATCGCTTTATTCAAGCTACTCACCTCCCTCTCTCCACCTGCACTTTCAACTGGACCACGGCCAATCAGAGAGGTCCCGCCCCTTACTATCTCTGATTGGTTTAGTCCACGATAGGGGCATAACATGTGTCTGTTGTTGACCACAGGGAAGGTTGCAGATTTTTTTTTTGCTACCCGAACAGTTGGTCGCACAGGTGCAACCAAATTTTTTTTTTTTAGTCGCACACTCTAGAGCCCTGCCGAGACTGTCCAAGCCGGGGCTCGAACCGGCAACCATACAATCGTATGAGTATGAGTCTGTGGTCTGGGAGAGAGTCTGTAACTCTCTGTCTGCAAAACACAGCATATAATGACCAATTTTGGGCAATTAATTATATAGTTACTTCTTCAAAAAAGTAACTCAGTTTGGCAAATAAAGTTTTTTGCAGCTATTTTTTTAAACGCAGCCAATACGTTTTTAAATAAACATTTCAAGCTATTTACAGAACAATCAGCTGTTCTGCATCAAATCTGATGCCACACAAATTATTTGTGCCACTCCAAAAAATATTTCTGTCCACTATGAGATAAAGGAGAACAACAGCCTGATACCTGCAGGCCTGACAACAGGAGATGTATCACTCCTGTAACACCTGTAACATTCAGAAATTGCCTCATTGTTTTGACACACACAACAAAACTATTGACTACACTACACACTGACTACACAAGATTTGCGCTAAACGTCTCAAATCTCTCACATCTCAAAACACCGCCGTCACTCCTAAAACGTCCCCCCGTTTCTTAACAACTAGATGCCACGTCACCATATCATTTTTTGATTTGTTGACATGGTACTTTTTTTGGACCAATAGGAAAGGTGGGGGGTGGGGTTTGTTTTTGCTCACAGGCTTTCGAGCCTTTTTTCTTATAAAACGCCGTTTTTACCGTTTCTTCCTGCCAGTAAATATAACAACGACAGTATTCAGGAAGAAAACCAAACATTGCAGATATTTTTATCACAACTCTTGTTTTACGTGGCCGATCAACACAATTTAAAACCTGGTATAAAGTCCACACTTTTTCCGTCAATTGTTACAAAACAGCTAAAAACCCATCTTTTTAAACTTGCGTTTGGTTGATTTTTATTTTTATGTTTTAGCTTCTGTGAAGCACTTTGTGATTTTTATCTTGAAAGGTGCTATATAAATCACATTTTACTTACTTACATACTTTAAAGTATTCTGATTAAGATTCTTCTCTGGAATAGGAGTTTGACAACTGATTTTTCCTCAAATCTATTATCAAGTTCTTGCTGTTTTTGCTTTTTTATAGGACGAGTATATATTTTCTCTGATTTTAATCTAATTAATTAGGTGCTTCCAAAAGTCTTCCTTTATTTAAAAGGCTTTGGGATGGCCTGTTGGGCTGTGTTTAAATCCATTCAGTAGTGGCTGTAGCAGTAATTGATATAATCCTCCTGTTGTGTTAATTCCTCCAATATATTAGATATAGGAGATTATAGACAAACTCCAGTATTTACTTGTCAAAAGTTACATATAGTTTAGTTTTCTCTCAGTGCCTCGATGAATCTCCTCCTCAGAGTAACATCTTAGGATGCCTCTGATCCAATGTGGAGCAAACGTCCAAAACAAAAAGCTGCACCTCCACAGAGCCCCTGGAAGTCTTGGAAAGTGGCAGTTTTCCTTACATTATCTTTTCGAAGGACTTTACTATCTAATTTGTGAGGTCACAGTGCCTGTCACCATCTTTCATATACAGTCTATGGATAAGCAGCTTTGTTTTTGCTTGTTGTTGTATTTTCACTTATTCTTCGTTGTTATTGTTTTTAAACTGAATACCGTTATTATTTGTGTGAAGAGAGCTTTCGCTATGTAGCTCATGGCTAATGCTAATGGTGTTTAGTTGTCATAGTTGAGGTAGCTTGATAGCTAATTTGTCAGTGGATTCCATCAGGTTCCCGTCCCGTCCCTCTCCGCTTTGTACGTAATGACGCAGGAGAGCGTCATGGACGGCGTACACTGCGTGACGCGTCAAATCTTCCAACTCAACCGCCGCTTCCTGGCCGGCCCAGGCAGCCGCCTCAGGCCCCGCTCCTCACTGAACCGCTATCCGCTTATTATTGTTATCACACCGACTGAAGAGAGCTCCGCTCCGGCTGCGTGGAGCTGCCGCCGGGATGAGTGGACGGAAAGGCTAAAATTTGCACATCCTCCGCAGAAGTCTCGCCGCTTGGTTAGTGTTTGACTTCTTTTTATTTGTTTGGGTAGTTAAAGGCTTGCAGGGAACTGATTTTTTGTATTTGTCTTCCTCCAATAAGAAACGTTACTGTAAAACTCTAATGGCAGCTAACTCCACGGAGAAGCTCTAAACTGCTTATCACAAGTTTTATTGTCGCAGGAGCTGAGCGCTGCCGTTTTCTGTTTTTATTTTTTGTGTGTGCACGGATATCATCTGCTGCCACTCATTGGATCAACTCTCACAGCCCCATTTTCCTGTCCTTTCACACCCAGCAACATGAACACACAGTGGTACACTCACACATTTATCAGTCTCAATGAAGAAGCTGGAAACCTTCATTACATTTGTTTTAAAGGAGTTTAGATACATATGATGATGGGATTTTTGAGTGGTTGGTTTATTGGCTCTTAGTAATAAAATTGGGAATTTATGTTATTTCATTTCATATTTCCAAATATTATTTTTTTCCATATATATGGATTTATATGTCCGTATATAGGCTTTATTATATGCTTGTCTATAATAAGAATAATAAGTCTAATAAACTGAGTGGTGTGCATTAATCTTGCTATTGTTACAGCAGCGCGAGGCTGAGCGAGGTGCAGCCTGAGGAGCAGCTGCTGTGGTGATGGTGTTGGACTTGGGCGCAGTCTTCATGGATCGGGTCGAGGGTGAAAGAAGTGCTGGGGACCTGTTGAAAACAGACGCTCGAGAAGATCCACCCAAAGCTGTTAAAAGGTGCGGCGTCACAAAAAGGGAGACAGTGTCACACAACGGGCTCGCAGCCCCGACGAGCTGCAGCAGCCAGGTAGTACAGAGAAGATCATCAACATCATCGTCATCAAAATGTGGGACTGCATCCAGAACGCCACTCCGGAGGCCCCTCAGCCTGGAGGTGACATCCCAGCGCATGAGAGGGTCTCAGGAGCAGATGGTGGACCGGAGGATCCTACAGCCTCCTTGGCGCAGTGGTACGGCTGCCCCCTCCCCCCCGGCTCGTAGCCTGACCAGCCCCAGCCTGGGAGTGAGTGGCTGGATGCGCCGTAGTGAAAGCACCTGCTCCGTGAACTACTCCCGGGGGCTGCGGGGCAGTAAGGGGCAAATGCGACCGGCCACCTCCCTCCCTCATATTGCTAAAGGAGTGGGTGGTTCAACACTCCCTACAGCCACCAGGCCCTGCCTGCTCGTTGCCCTCAGACCTCTAAACTTGGAGCAGGAGAAGCAGGCTTTCTTCCAGTCTGACTACAAGTATGAGCCTCAGTTTGAGTATGCGCAGCCTGAGCCCAGGAGCGTGCTGGACAAGTACAGAGAAGGCTCGGGTCTCTTTCTTGAACAGGTGTGTCACATTCAACCAGTCTAACAGTCAGCTCTGAGCTCATGAGATCATGAGGATGATGATAATGATGATGATGTGTTTAACTGCAGGCAGTTGGGATCATGGAGTGTGTCCTGAGGAAGTTTGGCTCCTATGAGAACTTTGAGGAGGTGACTGGTGGCAGCGCTCTGCCTAAAAGTCAGGTGTGGGCTGCTGTGCGCAAATACCTGCAGAAAGAGGGCTGTGTGGGGGAGGTGAGTGCAGTAGCCAGATTTCAGTATATCTCTGCTATATTGTGTCCATTGGCTGAATGCTGAAAATGCTGAAAAAGCAAACAACCCCCCCCCCCCCCCCCCCAGAAGTGTTTTTGGTGAGACAGTAATGTGACAGAACAGCTGCAGAAGTGACAAGCTAACAGTAAACCTACATCTACAGGATTACTTGAACCCTGTGACTGATTTAGCTGAATGACTTTCCACAAAGCAGCCGATGAGCAAAATCTGATGATTTTGTGTGCGTGTTTGTGTCTCCAGGTTGTTGTGCGTCTATCTGAAGAGCTGCTGTCTCAGGCTGTGATGGTGGTGGAAAGCTGTCGTCCTACTCTGACCATTAACCTATCTGGGGCTCGACAGCACTGGCTGGAGGGAATGCTGAGACATGAGATCGGTGAGCAGATAATAATACGTAAGCTTGGTAGAAGTCTTTCCACATGGTTTCTATTCCCCATAGCAGTTGTGACACAAAGAGGTAATTGATTATTATTATTGTTATTGTTAATATGGCTGACATCATTTATGGTTTATAACAGTGGTCCCCAAATCCCGAGCCATGGAACAGTACCGGGTCTCTGAGTAGTTTGGTACCGGTCCGCGAGAGTTGAGGCTCGGGTGTGAAATTTATGGTTTTCAAACTTTTCATGGTTTTTTTCGTTAACTCGGTTTCCCCGGGTCTTTCCCGTGTTGTAGCTGTGCGTCTTATTTTGAAAGAAATATTTATGCGTTACCATAGCGACCGGAGAGCATTAAGGGGCAGAGAGGAGGACATTACTCTCAGTGTTGTTGTCAGGAGGACGCTGCTAATAAAGTTACACATTTACACAGTGAATTCATGTTTATTATTATATTTACAAACTACCACAAGTTTTTGTCTCAGTCGTATCATTTTATTTTGCTGTATTTATCCGCCACACCGGTCGGTGGCACAAAAAAGGTTGGGGACCGCTGGTTTATTATAAGCTCTAGTCAAATGATTTGATTGAGCTTGAGTTGCAGCTCCCAGAGCAGAAAAATGAAGACTGTTCTAATGTGTCAGAAACTGCCACCAGAGCCTAGCCACGAAAGTGAGTCGGTCCTTAAAGACTCCTGTGTTAAAATACCCAGCCTTACAGCAGAATTAAACATGTGTACACCAATCTATATTTTGGTGTTTATAACAAATTTTCAACTTCATGACAACAGCACGGGGCTGCGTTTTCATACCGTTAGCCTGGCGGTGTCAGAATGGTAGACAACAAACTGACAAATGGTGTCATGCTGGCTATACTTTAATAAATGTCTGTGGTTGAATCAGCAGTCAGTTGCTAAACTTCAAGTGGCCTTGAGGTTTCCATTGATGAAGAATGGACCCACTATCTGTGTACCCCATATACCACACCAAACCATCACTTTTGTTGTTCCAACAGTCTTGGAGGGATCCATCCAATGTGGGTTAGTGTCAGACCAATAGCGGTGATTTTGTTGGTTAACTTCACCATTCACATAAAACTTTTCCTCATCACTGAACAAAATATTCTGCGTGAACTGAGGGTCCTGTTCCAATTTTTGTTTTGCCCATTCTGCAAATTCTGTGCCCCAATCTGGGTCATCCTCATTGAGATGCTGCAGTAGCTGGAGTTCGTAAGGGTGTCATTTGTGAGTAGCTAATATCCTCCGATGTTCGACTAATGCCACTCTCCAGTGACATGCGGCGAGTGCTACGCTGTGGGCTCTTGCTGAATGAAGCTAGGACAGCCACTGATGTTTCTTCATTAGTGACAGTTTTCTTGTGTCCACATTTTGGCAAATCCAACACTGAACCAGTTTCACGAAACTTAGCAAGCGGTTTGCTAACTGTAGCATGGGAGATGGGTGGTCTCGTAGGGTGTCTTGCATTGAAATCTGCTACAATGACCCGGTTACTGCGTTCACCAGATATCAACACAATTTCGATCCGCTCCTCACGTGTTAACCTCTTCGACATGTCAATGGCTGTGAACAAAGAGAAACTTCTAAATAACTCATGAAAGGATAAAGTTACGTTGAAACCAAGCACACCATTGTTTTTCTTGTGACATTACCAATAAGTGTGATGTGTCACATGGCCCTCTTCCTATTGAAAAAACAAAAGTTGTATCCAAGATGGCCGACTTCTAAATGGCCACCACGGTCACCACCCATCTTGAGGAGTTTGCCCCCTCACATATACTAATGTGCCACAAACAGGACTTTAATATCACCAACCATTCCCATGTTATTACGGTGTATCCATATAAATGGCCCACCCTGTATATGTATACAAGTGTGCACATAGCACTGCAGCAGACTGCTGAGGATCTGATTGTTAATAAAGTTGTATGTTCTCTATGTCAAATAAAGTTTGAATTGATGGAGCCTGTGATATTGGGAGTTACAGTGTGCCTGCTCCAAACCCACCCATGTCTGTTCAGAGATTTCCTGCTGTTATGAGAATCTGTTCTTCTCACCGGTCTGCACCTTCGTGCTGATTCCTGAAAGAACCAGATTTTTCCCAGATTACAAATTAATCTGCGGGAGAGTTCAGTGTAATGCCCTCATCAGCCCTGGGCTAAAAAAATCACTGTTACTGCATGCCAGTTAGCATGCTGGTAGCATTTGGGTCAAACCACAGTGGTACATCTGACAGAGTGGTTTTTAGATATGTGTTTTATCAAACTACAGTGTGAAGCATGTGCAGACAGCATGGAGGGCCAGCAAAGTGACTGCAGCAGCTTTCCTTCCTCTCAGGCACACATTATCTGCGAGGTGTGAACAACAGCGTGCAGCCATGGGCCACCGCCGAAGGCAGGAAGCAGTTTGGACTTAAACCAGCTAATCCCACAGAGGAGGGCCTGGCCAGCCTGCACAGTGTGCTGCTACGGAAACAGCCCTACCTGTGGCGCGCGGCTCTGCTCTACTACACAGTGTACCACGCCACCAGCATGAGCTTCAGCCAGCTCTTCAGCCACATAGCACGGTTCGTCCAGGACCCGGACGTCCGCTGGGAGTACTGCCTGCGAGCCAAGAGGGGACAGACGGACACCTCGCAGCCCGGTGAGTGTGCACGCACAAACACACACAAAAAATATGTAAAATTAATAGACTTGGCATTTTCCTAGGCAAAACCTATAAGATTGAATGCAATGAAATGTAACAGTATCAGGTTAGGATTTCATGCAGTGATTAACTTTGACTATTTAGGATTTTTTTTCTTCTATAATGAGTCTCTCCTGAGGGGGGAAAAAGCCTAAAATAACCTGTAATATAATAATATGAACACCCAAACATAAAGCCTGTAATCCACAAAATGATCCCAGCGAAAAACTGTGAAAACGTGTTTTCATGATGTTTGTCATATTGAAATGTTTCAGATGATCAAACAAATTTAAATATTAGACAAAGATAACACAAATAAACACAAATTAAACATCAAGTAACTGTGGTGTATCGCATCTTTGGAAGCATTTACGAGTTCAGTTTCCCAGCCACACCCAGGCCTGATTATCGCCACACCTGTTCACAAACAAGCCCGGCTATAAAAGGTTATAAAGCCACGTCTAAAGCTGCCAGATAACATTCTGGTGATCCCCGAGACTTTTGGGAAAATACTCTGTGGACTGATGAGACAAAAGCATGAATTTTGCTGTTTGCCAAAAAATACTCGTAAATACTCTAGGACAGGGGTGTCAAACTCAAATACACAGTGGGCCAAAATTCAAAACTGGAACAAAGTCGCGGGCTAACGTTAATATTTATTAAAATATATTTATTCCTCCAGATATAAGAATGAATCTTTTCTTATGGACTCAAACACGTTTTGCTGAAAAACTGAATATGGAACAAGCAAAGCTTAATACTAAACAATATATATATATATATATTAGCTGTATAATACCAGTAGGCCAGCTCTAATAGGAATTTGGTATGGCTTCGCGGGCCAAATGTAATTAGGCTGCGGGCCAAATTTGGCCCGCGGGCCAGAGTTTGACACCTGTGCTCTAGGAATTACAAGTAAGCCTGCAGTCTGAGAGCAAAGAGCTCTAACGGGGTGGCACGGTTAGATACGGCCTGATTATTCAAGACCTTGTATGTGGGAAGCCAATACAGGAGAAATCTGCTCTCTTTCTAGTCCCTGTCAGGACTCTTGCTGCAGCATTTTGGATTAGCTGAAGGCTTTTCAGGGAGTTTTTAGGACTTCCTGATAGTATAAATGCACAAACTCGTTTTTTAACATCACTCTGAGACAGGAAGTTTCTAATTTTACATGTTACAAGAAAAATGTTTTTATTTCTTTCAGTGCCACTCCCTATATAGGTTTGGACTTTCCCCTTGATAATAAACACGTTCATTTAGAAACTACATTTAGTGTTTACTTGTGTTAGCATTGTCTAATATTTATATTGTCTGATTATCTGAAACATTTAAGTGTGACAAACATACAAAAAAAATAGGAAATCAGAAAGGGAGCGCACACTTTTTTACACCACTGTACACCACTTAACACAGCTAATTACTAGTGCTGTCAGCGTTAATCTCGCCAAAATGACATTAATGCCATGACTGCATTAATGCGGCAAATCTCCGTTAGCGAGTCGCCCCGTGCGTGGGGCTGTATGCTGTCAACGCGTTAGTGTGGATAGCTTGTTAATGCGGTTATGGCGTTAAGATCTTTTTAACGAGTGTAACGCTGACAGCACTAGTGATTAGCTGTCAAGTGTCAGTGTAGCACTCAACTACACCATGCCTCTGTGGACTGTGGTGGTGGTTTTTTGGTTTCATTAATATCAGTTTAGGGTTCTTTTTCAGCAGAGATAAATGATAAAATGAGAATTATGAAAACCTCAACTTCAATGTTCAGATTGTTCACATTTAAATTTTGGAAATATGTGCAAATTGGCTAATATGCAGATCTTATTAAAATCCTATTTCTGAAAACCTAATATCCCATAATAGTCCTAACTCTTTAGTCCTTGAAAGGCATCCATCCATTTGCTTCCGCTTGTCCTTTTTAGGGTCGTGGGGGGGCTGGAGCATATCCCAGCGGTCTTAGGGAGAGGCAGGGCACACCCTGGATAGGTCGCCAGTCTGTCACAGGGCTAACACACAGACACAGACAACCAATCACACTCACATTCACACCTATGGGCAATTAACCTATCCACACTAACTGCATGTCTTTGGACTGTGGGAGGAAACCAGAGCACCAGGGGAGAACCCACGCAAACACGCGGCGAACATGCAAACCTCACACAGAAAGATGCCGGCCTGATGGTGGATTTGAACCCAGGAGGTTCTTGCTGTGAGGCAATAGTGCTAACCACCAAGCCTACTTGGAATAACCCTTGAAGTAGAGCAGGGCGATATGACCAAAAATATTTATCACGATATACATTTGAAAATTTGCAATAACGATGTAACTGACGATATAATTGACACGAGACAAAATACTTTACAATTCCACAACTTTATTAGTGTGAAAGACCCCATCAATGTATTTTCACTTAAACAAGCAGCTGTTTTTTATGTGCATTAAAGTTATATAAAAATTTAACAGTGCAAATGCAAATTCCTTGCTGACAGTTTAACCAAAAGGCATTTCCAGTGGAAACTGGGCGACATATCCTCAGCATAACCATGTATAATATGTATAAAAAACAATAATTGCTATAAGAAATTTAATTTGTAGTAAATTCTAAATGCATTTAGGAAATTTTTTACTCACTTTGTCTCTTTCACGATGTTATTTCTCTCTCCAACAACGTAGGTTACAATTACATTAGCATGACCTATTATGAAAATTAGGCAATTACGTCATTTGGCGACTTCTAGCGACTTTTTGGACAGCCAATAGTGATTTTCCTTACTGAGGAGTTGCCAACACTGCGTGAGGCTCTAGACTACAGTAGCCGTAATGCTCTGGCAATCCATCAAGCAGTGCGCCTTCATAGCTTACCAAAGTCGTACTAAAACATTTTTTGACAGATTTCTGTGCGCCATGTACCACATAAAATCGGTTCGCGGTCAGTAAGCACAACCAGAATTCATACACAAGGCACACTCTCGATTTTTGAGGAAATTAAAGGATTTCAAGTGCACCTTGTAGTGTGTAAAATACATTATAGAGAAGAAAAGAATATATCGCGATATATATCGTTACCGCACATGCTTCAAATTATACCTTGATATGGTTTTTAGGCCATATCGCCCAGCCCTAGTGCCATAGGGCTCCTTCCATTTCTGAATGATCGCTTGAACAGTGCTCCGTGGGATGTTCTCTCAATAACTTTATCCCTGACCTGTCTGGTGTGTTCTTTGGACTTCATGGTGTTGTTGCTCCCAATGTTCTCTTAGGCAACCTCTGAGGCTGTCACAGAGCAGCTGTATTTGTACTGACATTAGATTACACACAGGTGCACTCTATTTAGTCATTAGTACTCATCAGGCAATGTCTATGGGCAACTGACTGCACTCAGACCAAAGGGGCCTGAATAATTACGCACACCCCACTTTGCAGTTATTTATTTGTAAAAAAATGTTTGGAATCATGTAGGGCAGGGCGATATGGCCAAAAATATATATCATGCGGTGGCCCTGAGAGGCCAAACGGACTGCAACTTCAGTAAACACTTGTAAAAAGAAAAACGCTGCAAAAGCACACACAACACAATAGAAATGTTTCTGGGGAGACAATAACCGGACGGACCAGTTGCATGAACCAAAACATGTATGTACGGCTGTATCAAAATTCAGCCTTCTGCAGCCTTAAAGTACGCAGCCTTAACGGTCCTCAAGGGCCGCGTACTCAAAGACCGCTGAGGCCGGAAGTGCGAGGCTTGTAGGCTTGTGAAATGGGACGGTCTAGCCTCCGTCGCGCTGCCCAGGTTGCCTAGCAACCATGATACTAACAGCTGGAAACGTTTTATACAGCTTTGTTTGACAGAAATGAAGGAGAACATATTTTGTTCATTTGTTTCTACATGAGCTGTGTGTGATGTGATAAGTATCTGAGGCTGAGACCACAGGACTGTAAAACATGATTTTTGGGCTTCATTTCTATACTGAGCAGTCATTTAAGATTAGCTAGTAAATAACAATTAGCTAATGTTGTTCATGAGACTAAAGTCATCTCACTTTGGTAATGTAAATATAATATGGCCAAAATTATATTAATCATTATTAGTTATTACAGCAGTGAACATGAACTCTGAGCTTCAGTAAAGATTCAAGTTGCATTTCACTTAAAGACAAGTATCTTTGACAGTGTATCTATAGATGTATTATATATAAGAGACATATTGTTCTTTTAATATGTTGGCATTATTAAATTTGGCTCAATGCTTATATATATGTGTGGAAAAAGCAAATGTGCGAGCTGTGATAACTGTTTCTGATAGAATGAAGAGTAGACTGATATATGAAATATTCCTTTATTGGGTGAGAAAATCAGACCATGTCATAACTGCTTTAAGTCATACAGAATAGACATCAGAGCCTTAAACAGGCTGACGTCTGCTAAATGGGTCAAACTGGGCAGAAAGTATCCAAACACATAACATCCTTATAGAATATGATGTAACACTATAGATCAACTTAGCTCAGAATATATAAAGCATATAAACAATTACAGCAATATGATGCAACAAACACAGCAGTGCTACTAATCCAAAATACTCAAAACTTCATAGAACTGAAACCAACATTTATTTTTAGCTCCATTCTGCTGCTGATACATACTTTAGGTTTCTGAACATTAAACTTGTTGCTGCCTTTCATAGTGTGTAACTTGAAGGCCCTGAGTACTTTCTCCCACACTGAAAACACTGGAATGATAACATTATTTGAACATTACCTAATAAGACTGATTCAGGACAGACAATTAGTTATTTTAAACTTTTCTAGCAGTCCTTCACAAACAGGGGACAGTCTGTCTATTCTCTCCATCTGTCAGCTGCTGCTGGCTCTTCCTCCTCCTCTTCCTCACACACTGCTGAGTTTGTCCTGGTGGATCATCAGGGCTGCAAAGCCTCACAGATGATGTGCAGCAGTGTGTCCCT